TTCCTCGTGTGGGTGTAATGTAGCCGCGTGAACTATATGCATTTCTTTCCAAGTGATTCCACGCAATCCAATATTTTTTTGTTCTGATCCCAGCTGCCATCCCATCGTGGTGCACAACGCTGCATGGGAACTGTGGACGGAGTTCGCTGCAGCAACCGGATTCTGCCGCTTTCCAAGCACTGCGCGGCGCGTATCCTTTTCCAATTCGTCGAGGAAAATCTTTGTGTGAATGCTGTTTCCTGTCTGAGCTGTTGGCCGTGTTGCTTTCCAGTTGCAATTGGTAGCACAATGGTCTCCGTGAATTTTGCATCCTGTCTGCCACGTTTGCCCTGACATGAATGTGCCCAGACATCTGCCAAGACAGCGCTCAGCTTCTCTTCCGAATGTGCCCTGGAGTGGAGGGGGCGCCATGCAATCGGCCGGTGCCAGTCAGCCTGTCAGACAACCCCCACTGCCCTCTACACACGCCTCTACCCCCCTCTGTTTCGGAGCAGTCCTTGGAACTGAGCGAGGTGTGACGCTGTAGCCAGTGAACCTGCATCTGGGTGTTGTGTTTGAGCAGTGCCTGTTCTTTTAGTTTTTCATGGTGATCCAAATCTTGTGATAATGGTACGTTAAAAGTGACCATATAATGCATTAATTAATCCGTGAATATTATTCCCCTTGCAATACATGCATTGAATTGAGGACTTAAAAATGTGCATTATGCGAACTACTGCACCACAGCTGCACAATACGTTGAGTGAGGGTCTGATTTATGTTTAAGTTTAAACCAGTGAATCCCAACTTTTCTGAACTGGTTGACCACTGCCAACCCTCAAACTCCATGGACCACCGTATATCCATAAAAAAATTATAAATTAAAACTACACAGCATTGTCAATATTAAACAAAACCATACAAACACTTGACATTGTTAATTGACTAAATAGTTGTGCAATGGGCAGTGAAAATATGGCGTTTTGCGAATAATATCAGCAAGAGTCCTGTGAACCACCTGTAGCTCACAGAACACAGGTTGGGAACCACTGGTCTAAGTGATGGTCAGTACTCCTGTATTACGATGTATTCACGCAACTCGTGTATTTCAGGACTGCTCCAAACACATTGATGTTGTCGGAGAGGATCCAGCACAGTCAAGTCAACTGCAAGAGGTATGTCGATTACAGCAATTTACAACAGCTGATCTCGACTTTGTTCATCTTGCATGTTTGGAGACATTCCCGTATGTTGCTAAATAATGAATACATTTCCTTATACAGTAAAACCTTGGATTGTGAGCATAATTCGTTCTGGAAACGTGTTTGTGGTAATCCAAAGCACTCGTCGTGTATCAGTTGTGATCACGTGACACTCGGCAGACAAAGCGTGTATACGTACACTACTCGTATTGCAAGACCTTGCTCGTTTGTCAAATTAATATTTATTGAAAAATTTTGCTCGTACTCTTTGGTTCTATTGGGTAAAGTCACGTAGGTGAAAATAAAATAACAAAAAATCACGACGTTTCGGCCACAACACAAGCGGCCTTCATCAGGTGAAAGGACGAGACTGTCTGGAGGACAGCGCTGGAGTGAGAGAAGCCACGCTTAGATCACGACATTTAAGCTGTGTGAGAAGAAAACAAAGCGCCTTGACAAAGGAATTAGCATATAATTTAGCATTGAAATGGCTCATTGAAATAGCTAAGTTAAAGTATACACATCCAAAGAGGCACCCCTTGACAAAGGAATTAGCATAGAATTTAGCATTGAAATAGCTGAGTGATTAGCTTGTAACTGGTCACAGAAATAGCTATGTTAAAGTCAGCATATACATTCACCGAGGCACCTAGTACAAATCAAACAGGAGAATTTAGCGAAACACAACCACGCTCAGACTGCGGAACTTTAAACTGTGTGCGAGCAAACAAGGTGTCCTGACAAAGAAAGTAGCATAAAAATTAGCATTTGATTGGCCGATTTTAGAAAAGAGGTGGTGTACGTGCCGGTGGACTTGCCGTTTGGCGCGGGGGGGGGGGGGGGGGGGCGGGGGAGTTTACCTATTGATGGTGTGAAAAGGGAATTTATAAGAGCTGCGAAAGTTTGGGGTACCACTACTTGAAAAAATATACTGTACCATTGAAATTAGTTTAATGTTTAGTTCGATTTAGAACATCTTTCCAATGGTTGCTTAATTTGAAACCATCTTCTCGGTTGAAATTGTGTCTGTGTTTGTAGATCTGAATTGCTTCACTGATAAAAACCCGTGGGTTTGCAAAGAACCTTGGTATCGGAGAAAATTATATCGTGATCCCCCACAGCGTTGTAACAGTGATCAGCCACGGCAGAAGAATTCGTTTTGCCATGTTTCAAATCTGATTTGTGCTCGCGAATTCGGTCAGAGACATGTCGCTTTGTCTCCCCGATATAGCAATCACCGCAGGTACAACTCAATTTGTAAACCCCAAAATGAGGGTACCCCCATGGGATCCCCCTTATCACCAGTGATAGCCAATATTTTCATGGAGAAATTTGAATCAGACGCCATCCAGACTTCCACCCTCAGACCTTCCCTGTGGAAGAGATGTGGATGACACTTTCGTCATTTGGCCACATGGCCTCCCAGCTCTGAACCTTTTCCTACACCACATCAATTCCAGACATCCCGCCATCAAATTCACCATGGAAGTGGAGAAAGATGGCAAGCTACCATTCTTAGATGTTCTGTTTGAGAGGAGACCTGATGGCTCATTGGGGCATTCTGTCTACAGGAAACCCACCCACACAGATTCCTACTTGAAACCTGATTCCCATCACCATCCAGCCCAAAATAATTATCTCATCAAAACTTTATACCATAGGGCTCATTGCATTTCGGACCAACACCACCTGACCAGTGAATTAAAACATGTACACCTGGCCCTCAAAAGGAATGGTTACTCTGACCGTACCATCCGCCAAGCTGTTTCTCCCTCCATACAGAAACAACCACTTGATACTCCAGTCAAAACCATCACACTTCCATATATAGCAGGCGTTACCAAAAAGATTTCCAAAATTTTAAACAAACACAAGATCCAGGTCCGGTTCAATACAGTACGCAAAATTCGTGATCTGATCCCATCCGTGAAGGATGTCATTCCTGACTTACAGTACCCCGGGGTTTACAAATTGAGTTGGACCTGCGGTGATTGCTATATCGGGGAGACAAAGCGACATGTCTCTGACCGAATTCACGAGCACAAATCAGATTTGAAACACGGCAAAACGAATTCTTCTGCCGTGGCTGATCACTGTTACAACGCTGTGGGGGATCACGATATAATTTTCTCCGATACCAAGGTTCTTTGCAAACCCACGGGTTTTTATCAGAGATTTGTTCATGAAGCAATTCAGATCTACAAACACAGACACAATTTCAAATTAAGCAACCATTGGAAAGATGTTCTAAATCGAACTAAACATTAAACATATTTCAATGGTACAGTATATTTTTTCAAGTAGTGGTACCCCAAACTTTCGCAGCTCTTATAAATTCCCTTTTCACACCATCAATAGGTAAACTCCCCCCCCCCCGCGCCAAACGGCAAGTCCACCGGCACGTACACCACCTCTTTTCTAAAATCGGCCAATCAAATGCTAATTTTTATGCTAATTTCTTTGTCAGAACACCTTGTTTGCTCGCACACAGTTTAAAGTTCCGCGGTCTGAGCGTGGTTGTGTTTCGCTAAATTCTCCTGTTTGATTTGTACTAGTTGCCTCGGTGAATGTATATGCTCTGACTTTAACATAGCTATTTCTGTGACCAATTACAAGCTAATCAATCAGCTATTTCAATGCTAAATTCTATGCTAATTCCTTTGTCAAGGGGTGCCTCTGCGGATGTGTATACTTTAACTTAGCTATTTCAATGAGCCATTTCAATGCTAAATTATATGCTAATTCCTTTGTCAAGGCGCTTTGTTTTCTTCTCACACAGCTTAAAGGTCGTGATCTAAGCGTGGCTTTTCTCACTCCAGCGCTGTCCTCCAGACAGTCTCGTCCCTTCACCTGATGAAGGCCGCTTGTGTTGTGGCCGAAACGTCATGATTTTTTGTTATTTTATTTTCACCTACGTGACTTTATCCAATAGAACCAAAGAGTATGGATCCTAGCAGTCACGAAAGCTTTAAATCTAGCATTTTGCTCGTCTTGCAAAACACTCTCAGACCAAGTTACTCGCAATCCAAGGTTTTACTGTATTTGATAGTATTGTACGTACCTCCTACGTTACCATGCAAGCTCCGCCGAGAGTTTGTCACGGTGTGATTATAGCAATTTCGTTTTGGGTCTCCACGCAGGTGGAAGGTGGCAGCATGGAGTGGAGCGGTGAACAGAAGGACGGGACGGGGAACACCACCGTGTGCCCATCGCATGGCAAAGAGCCTCGCGTCATTCCCTCGCCCACAGTGAGCTCTCTCAATTGAGCGCCTTTTTGAGACATGGCCTTGCGGTGGTGCGTTCATCGCTTATTGCGGAGGTTCATGGTTCGTTTCCAGCAGTATTGTGGGTGCATTCACCCTACCATGACATTTCATCTGCTTCACAGTGGATTTTAAAGATCCTATGGTGTCATTCGCAAGAGTCGGCCATTTTGTGCGGCCATCTCGGTCAACATTTGAAAACAAATTTCCTGAAATTTCTTATTTGGAATCTGTATATAAATTATCATTCCCTACTGTGAAAATGTGGAAAGACCCTTCTGAAAGTGTCATGACTCTGAGGCTTTTACAGGAAAATAAGCACCTGCCGTTCCAGTCACTGCAATGATAACTTGCTACTTGAACTGTTTATAAAGTGTAACATTTCCTGCCAGAGCCAGGCGGTAGCGGGAAGCTGTTTTTTACAGTACATGTAACCAGCTACCACCACACTTAAAATGCATCTCAGTGGTGAGAGGTACAAGAGTATGTGATACTCTGTACATGTGTGTAGAGCATGTCTTATACTGACATAATAAATGCGATTTTGAAAATCTTTTGTTTCAAGTGGCATATATATATATATTTTTAAACGCTTCTTACATTTTTAAAGATTTTTTTACTAACATTTTTTATAGGGAACTGCATTTCCCTTGGCGTTTACATTTTTTAAATATAAGATTTGCTTTCAACAATCGACGGTGGCTCTTAGCAAAAAAATCAACAATACATTTTGCTCCGTGTTTTACAAATTAAGTGCTACAAATAGAACATTAAGTACTTGAATTAGTTGACACTGGGTTGCTTTGCCTTGGAAATATCACCTTTTTACCAGGCTAGGCTTGACTGGAGGGCCCTGCAGGAATGCTTTGCAGCCTGCGTGTTCAGCCAAAACGAGCACCGTCCACACCCAGGAATTCCAGGGCATTCGTAGACAAGAGCTTGTCCTAGAAAAAGACATGAAGGCCAGGATGACAACACGATGTCTGCTTGGTTGCAGCTCACACTATAGTAGCAGGCATATGGAACATGACCCATACCTTGAGCTGTGGGGAGAACTCTTCCATGGTTTCGATCAACCTCCCTGGCTCCAGATCGCCTAATGGAAAAGGGTAGTCGGTTCCAAGCATCACGCGGTCCTGTGAAAGGCATGAATGTATTAAAGTTATTTTAGTGCAAATGTTAGATCTCAGAAGCTAAGCTGGCTGGAGCCAGATTAGCGCTTGGATGGGTGACCACTAAGCACACACCAGATTTCCATGAGTTGTGCAGAAAAATCCATTGTGAGATTCTGTGCTCCCCGTCTTCAACCCGCACTGGTCAGCGTAGTGAGGTATGGTCAAACAACCCCGACGTCTAACAGTGTGGAGGGGCCTTTATGCAGCTGTGGATTCATAAAGGGCTGCTGTACATTACAGTGTTGGGCGCTACAAACTAATATTCCAGGTGAGGTCCCCTCCTCGCCAGCCCCGAGCACCTCTCCCAGGACGTCCACGAGGAGACGGAGCGCGTGGGGGTCGTGAACCAGTGAGTCCGTGTAGAAGCGGCCTGCATAGCGACGTGGCGGGTGTGGGTTGTCCACGGCGCACAGGTCTGGCCGCACGTCAAAGCCATGCTGGATCCTGCCCAGCGTGAAGGGGAACGAGCCACCTGGTAGGAACAACCCTGGGTGTGTCCTGGAGGAACTTGATAACTAAACATTTATAAATATATACACATTCGGGTTGTGTTCCTATTTGGATAAATTAGACAAATAAAAGGCCTAGTTATGTATATTCTTGGTTCTTTCAGTAAAGTCACGTAGATAGAAAATAAAAATTAAAAGCAAAAAACACGCCGTTTCAATTGCAACACAAGCAGTCTTCATCAGGTGGAGAGAAAAGGCTTTTTTTCTTTTTCTCCACCAGATAAAACCGCTTGTGTTGCGATCGAAATGTTGTGGGTTTTTTGGTTTTAATATTGGTTTTTATTTTATATCTACGTGATTTTACCAAAAGAACCAAGAATATGAATTCCTGCAGTCATGAAAGGTTAAAGTATAAGCCTAGTTATGTAATTTGGGATGGTTCAAAAGTTGTTTTTGTTTGGTATGAAATTACATCACTTCCATGCCTTTTGAACTAAAAATTTGTGTCATCTGGCTTTGGATAACGCCAAGTTTGTTGGCACACGGCAATGTTCAAATATTAGACTGCATATGATCTGAGAATTTGAATAAAGATCTTAATTTTAAATCCTAAACTAAACTTTATTCTACAAATTATGTCACACTTCCCCCTGTAGCATCTGGTAGGTGTGTGTGTGTGATCAGATTCGTATAATTTAATTAACACCAGGCACACGTTTAGGGTGCATCTAACTTTCTGGAATGTAAAATACAGGGAATATGGTAATCTATTAAGATGAGCCAAGCAACTCAACAATTCACTTTCTGACACTGCCATCCCCTGGTCACCTCGGCCTAGCAAGTCTGGGAGGTTACCACGTGTTTGTGTTATACAACCCCTCCCCCCCCCCAAGTGCTCGGACAAAGATGCGTGCTTCTTCTATTGGTCGGATTTAAATACGTGTTGGCAAAGTGGTTATCACACTGCGCTCCAAAACCTGGCAACCCGAGTTCATTACCAGCCATGGCTAAAATCAATGGCAAACGTTTTAATGAGGACTGGGCTGCCTGTAGGTCGACTCTGTCTAAATTAATAGCTCGTCCAGTGTGTAAATAGCAGTGGGGAGGTGTGTTAAAAATACCACCCCCTCGTGCCATGTCAGCCTTTAACAAGTGCTCTAACGGCACTGGCCCTCGCAGTTTGAAAAAAGCTAGAGGTGGGATAATTGTTTTTGTATGTCGATAGTATACATGCGGACCAGTTTAACTTGCACACATTCACCCACTCACCTCCATGTGCAAAGCAGACCTTAAGCCTGGGGAACCTCTCAAAGACTCCGCCAAATATCATGGAGCAAATGGCAGTCGTAGTCTCGGCTGGCATCCCTGGACCAACACACGTACACATAGCCCATTGTCAAGATACTCACAGACTCGCATAGCTCGGTGAATATCTCGAACGCTGCCAGTAAATGATTGAAGCTGGCAGTGACGTTACCGTGTGGTCCATGGTTTGAGTTTGGGGGCCAATGTCACACTGGGTGCTATTCTTATTTGGGCCTGCCATAGGGTAGAATGCTTTCGTGGGGTGGCAGGTGAAGGGAGTTGACTAACCCACGAGCCAGGGCAGCCAGTACTTGGCCATGCGTCCTGTGGTCTCCATGTCCCAGGGGTGGATGAACAGAGCACAGCCAAGCTCCTCCGCCTCCTGAATCCCGACGGCACAGTGGCGTGAATGAGTGTCAAAAAGAGCACACAAAGCGACCTGCTAGGCAATCCACACTGCACTCGTGTATGAACTGCAGACTTGCGTGGGGCCACAAGAGTGGGAGTTGACCAATGGAGTGTTAAACACAGACAGTGCTCCAGATGGAGTGGGTGGATAATAAGTTTTGACCGTTACCCATGTGTCACCAATTCTCACCGGCTTCTCCCCACATCTCACCACCATGTGGTCCTTTAAATTAGTTTGAAATATGTACACGATATAGATATTTAAAGTGATGAGGAATTTGCCAAATGTCATTTCTGCAAACATCTGCTGAAAGTTTAAACGTGGTAAATGTGGAGTGATGGGAAGCATGCAATCTGGTGTTTGAGCATCTCTGAGGGAAACTTGTGGTGCGTGCACATGCGACGCGAGACAACGCCAGGGAGCCGGCGTCTCACCGCGAACACGGCCCGTAGCTCGGGATCGTCCAGGTTGCAGGCGTTGACGTGCGAGCCGATCTGCACCCCCGGGAAGCCGAGCTCCAGAGTGCAGCGGCGCAGCTCCTGCACAGCCAGCGCGGCCGACTGCCCCGCACAGACACCGGCATCCAGCGTCACACCACGCGGCGACGCACAGCACCGCTCGGACACCACGGCATCTCGTGCCACACCATCACGCGGCACCGCACGGCACCGCACAGCAAGACAGCATGCAATAGCACACTATACAGCACAACACAATCCAACACAGTACACAGCACCACAGCATACAGTGCTGCACCATACAGCACAACACATAAGCATGCAGCACACCATAGGGCACCGTACCATACAGCACACTGCACCACACCACAACATATAGCACTTGACTACAGCACAACCCCAACAAGCGATACAGCAACAAACCCACCCAGCACTACGCTATTCAACACCACTCGGCAGCATACCACCCTACAACATACTACACCACGCAGCGCAATATCCTAGCAACACACCAAGGCATGCAGCAAAACACCCCAGTAACACCACTTCATAGGGGACCCCATAACCACCCCACACCACTGAGCGCGGTGCTCCACAGCTGAGCGGAATGAGCGAGCGGTTCAAGCGAACCTGCATAGGCAGAGTGCCGAGCCCGACGAAGCGGCGTGGGAAGCGGCCCACTACGCCCGCCAGGTCGTCGTTGAGGAGCCGGCACAGGTCGTGTGCGTCCTGCGGCCGGGCCTGCCGGGGGGAAGAACCCCTTTAGGGGGCACGTGGGGAGCGATCCGAACCCACTCACTCGCCACAAGGTGGAAGAGGGTTAGCGACGAGGCATCGTGTCTTTTAAATATTGTCGTCTCCTCTACTATAGATATTGGGGTGAAACGAATCGCTCCCCATCAGACAAAACTCGTACCAAGCACACGCGGGGATGACCCAAATCTCACACCGCCAGGTGCAAGGTGTCCGAAACTAGTCCTGCTGTTGACATGCCACTACTTCCACTGCAGATTCTCGAAGTTGTGCTGCTGTGTAGCAGCTCTCCAATGTGTTTTTGGGCTGTGCTGCGAATTGTTAGGCAACAATGTGCGACGTTTTGCTCCACATGCCGGGAGAACTTCATTAAATGACCAGAAGCTCATCGTGTTGAACACGCAGTATAACCCAAACAGTATCAGACAACGGCCCACGGCAACGGATATCACAGAACTACCTCTTGAGAACAATTCAAGAGACCGCTGCTGCACACAGAGGGCAACGCTTTCCCACATGCTCTGCGACTGAGCATGATGAGTTGTGTTCGTTGCCGTGCTGTTGCTCTAAGTCACTGTTCGCTCACTCACCCAGTAGTTGAACATGACGGGCACGGTCGAGAGCGCCTGCACCGTCACCCCTGCCCACGACGCACACGCCACCGCACACGCACACGCGCCACGCACATCGCGAGTAGTTATGTATTGTCATCTGGTGCCATTCTCAGACAAAACGTGATGCACTGAGTAATGCGCCGAGTTCGCAATGGGAATTCATTGATCTCATGACGTGGCAATGCTGACAGAACGATTGGAATGCAATTGGTGGAAGAGGGCAATGCATTCTTGTAAAACGTTGTGACACCTAACTAGTGACAACTTCTGTGCCCAATTAATTTGGGGCACGCAAGCTTTGATGATGTCGCCGAGTGTGGCATCACGAGTCGCACCCTGCTGGTCCATCTCCCGGATACGCACGGCCGGGTCCCAAGAGTTCTCCTGGATCACGCGAAACACCTTCCCATCCTTGACCATCTTGGCTTCACCCTGCGGCACAGGACTCTATCAGTCAGCTGAGCAGAGCTCACATCTGCTGTGCAGACTTGGCATGTAAACCTTCACCACCACGACCACCTGCAGTGATTTGATGATCATACACATGTAAAGGGAGTTCTTCGACATCTCCTTTCCACCAACCCTGTCCCTTGGTCCCCGTTCTCACTCCGGTCTCTTTCCTGCAAAATTTCTCAAAGTCCTCGGCCTATCCCATGCTTTTTGGACATTTGACTGGACATCCGTCAAAAAGTTCTTCACAGCTCATCGGATTCCACCAGTATAAATAAAGATTCAGATTTCTCCCACCTGGTTGTCCCAATCGTCGTTCATTAATTACTCTACTTAGGACAGGTGTCCTTATGTGACCATAACATTATTTTAATATATTCTTACACGATGCTTAAACATGAAGGTAAACAGACGATAAAAGACATGCGTAGATTGAGGTGCATAAGTGACTTGCTCTCTGCTGTTAGATGACCTTTTATCTCCCATGTCTCCCTGCCCTGACCCCCACACTCCGCTTCTACCCTGTTTATTGTTTGTTCATATTATTTTAGTTGTATATAGTGTCGCCGTTTATGCAAATTACATCTCACAATCACTGAGGAACCACAGATAAGTGGGAAGGCATTCAGGCAGTGTGCCAGCACAATTTCCCAAGCTCTGGAATCCTCTATATATTACGATATTTTCAGCCAATTCACGAGTGTTTATATATGTGGGACAAAACCTAAGCACCCGTTTGTTTTTGTTCGTAATTTTATTTGTATTTTCCGAGCAAGATGTCTTGATATATGATGACATTTGGACGCAACATAGTGCATATAAATGATTCCCCACGCTGCATATGTTTATTATACACAGACAAGACGAAACAAGAATACACACAAATGCTATGCACATACTGTAATCAAATAACATACACGTAAACATGTTAAACGTATCTCCTTTCTTGGCATACGAGCTGTTTAAGATTGTTTAAAGACCACCGCATATCGTGGACAGCAACGAGATCATCGGCATTAGCTACATTAATAGTTGGGTAAAGTTGCTATAGTTAGCACCTATTAAGGGCGGCAGGGTAAACGAGTGGGTGGGTGGCCAACACTCCTGGTACTCGTTTGAGGCTGAGTCGACATAGGAGTGGCCCAGGACCGGTTCAAATATTCGCTGCTGTTCGTTAGCGATCGGAAATCGAACTACCGCTCCCCACTCATCCACGTAAATACATGCACGTACATGCAGTGCAAGTCCCTGTCACAGGGCGAGGTACTGTACGAGGCAAGCTCACCTTGGAGTGATGCTCCAGGTGCACCCAGCCTCCATAGCCGTACCTCTGCAGGGACACAGCGACGATGAGAGCAAGAACATCGACCTTGCTTTCTCTACGCGGGTGTCAGCACGGATCCCACTCCCCATGACACACTGACGAGCAGGGGACGGATCGACCTGAGCTGTTGGCGTGGCTACCTGAGTAGTAGAAGGGGTTACCTGAGTAGTGGGCGGGGCTACGTGAGTAATGGGCGGGGCTACTAGGGCAGTAGGCGGAGCCTATGAACAATGGGCGGGGTCAAGTCTCAAAAGGAGCGGATAGGCCACTCCCTGTGGACAGAGCCAGTGAGAGGGCGTGGCTATATAAAGTGGGCGGGGATGAGGGAGGGGCTACCATCTCACCAGAAACGATGTTATGTATTAACTAAGGGTTAATTTTCTTGGTTCTTTCGGTAAAGTTACGTAGAAGGGAAACAATAAAATATAAAACAAAATTCTCACGACGTTTCGACTGCAACACAACCAATCATCATCAGGATGTAATTACCAGCGAAACGTCGTACTCAAACTGTAAATGTTGTGGATTCACTCTTCAACACACAAGTGGGCTAAAGTAGTGAATTATTTGTCTTTTGTCAACGTGACACTTTTTTTGCTGATTGGCCGTGTCGGGTGGTGGAGGGTTACGACACATTTATAAATAACGCGATCTAACCCAAAAACCTTTATTAACAAATGTGACGCAAGATGATTTGTCCGTCGTGTGCTGTCAGCACGTAGTCTAAATGTGGGGATCAACTTTTCTCACTGAATATTTTTCGGTCGTCGATAGACTCGAGTAGGTGACACGTGACGAGTATGTTGGATGTGGTGTGCCGGGTGGGGGATTATTATTATACGAGTCGCTAACCCGGACAAATCTGGCTGCAATTTTGCCCTATCGACAAGCAACTCGTGTCTGCGAGCAGCCTAGACTGTGAATTTGGTACGGCAGTTGACTGGAAACATTTCCATGCGTTAATATATATTTTTTTGCTGAAAGCAGACATCGCGCAGATTCCGCGGTGGCCACCGCACCGGGCAAAGTGCACTGCAGGCCTGGCAGACGTCGGTCATGAACCCTGCGTGCTAATATGCACCCGCACTGAGACCACAGTCCTCTCGGTAGCGTTATAAAATATGCTGTACCGCTTCAAGTAGCCCCACCTATCAACTCTACTCCCACCTTGTTGTTCACATTATGGTATGGTTATAACACAGAATTGTCAATGTGTAATACGCGCTGATCCAAGTTACGTTCGATTGGAACTGCATCGTACCGGCAGTGTGTTCGATATGAATCGACCACGTTTTGTGTGAGCGTTATGTATGAATGCGCAGTTGGTGTAATGTAGGTGACAGACGCAATTATATTACACGTCATTTCTGGTACTGCATTTATACCTGCGTTAAGTCCGGCCACTCCCGAGGAAGAATGTGGCTGTGAACATCGATCTTCATTTTCCACTTTTTAGTTGATAACTGTGCGTGGATTATAACAACGACGACTGTGATAATGACAGCTGCAGCAACAACAAGTGACCAGCACCCACCCACGAGTCCACCCGTGACACGCTTGTGCTGTGTGTGCTGTGGTGTTTTGGCACAGGGAGAGGGGCTGCGTGGGTGTTGCCGGGGCTTGTCTCGAGCAGCCAATGGAAAGTCCCACTCCGCTTGAACGCCCAGCCATTGATCACTACTTTGCCCTGGGGAAACAAAGCAATGGGACTCGCGTGAACGGACGCTGTGCTTGCCAATAGGCGGCTTTGATCTGTTCACGTTCTCGTGATGCAAAATCCGTCGATGCTGCTGAACACGAGGAGATTTCACCGCGCCATCTCCTGAGACGCGTTACATTCTATACTATTTGTATTTTACGAGGTAAGGAAGGCCCATCAGAGTATGAAAGATGGTGCATTGTCTTTGAGTTGTGCGCCTTTTGGCGTCTTCTGGTCCAACACCATGTGAGACGAGGCTCTAAAGAAAGCTGTCTCGGATGTGGACCAATCAATTTCAAGGACAGTGCATACATTATCAGAGTTGTTGTTTTTGATTGCGTTCCGACCGCAGGTATTGTGGTCAATGTAAACATGACTCCTTGTAAAAATAAAAAAGGTGTCAGTTTTGTTGCCAGATAAAAGGGTAAAAAACCAATTATCATATTTTGTTACTGGCAAATGAGGTTTCCAATGATGCTTCAAATTGCTTTAAACTATTGTCGTTGTAGTGCGTATTTAATTTGGCGCTGCACTCTGATGTTGTAGGAGAAAACATTTATTAAGAAGTATTTAATTAAGTAGAACGTGTTGTCTATATTTATTTAAAGTTGCGCATTTTGATGTGACGTCACATTTCTCACCCCTCCCCCCTCGTCACACATCGTCACAAATGTCTGACCCCCTCCCCCCTAGGTGCGTGACGTCATTTATGGACGGCCCCACAGTTAATAACAAAAACAAACGCGTTCGTCAGTGAAACTATGGTCTTCAAAGAAAAGTATATATAATAGGTCACGTTTTCAAACAGTCACAGTCCCTATGATCACTGTTACATTGCATTTATGGCTTTTATTTTGGTGATTTCGAAAACGTTTTTTTTTGGTTTGGCCATGTTTTTGTTTATTGTAGTACGGAGTTAGCCTGATGGCCTAAATCTTAGTTGTCTTGTGGTTGTTGTTGTTTGGCTTGCATCCCACTGGGATTTTTGCACACAGCGTTGGTGTACGGTGCTATTTCAGGAATATTTTGATGTTTTTTTTCTGGATTTTCTGTTTGCACAGTCACATAGTCACTTCAAGATGTTTTCTTGTTCATGTTTTTTGTTTGTTGCGGTTGCACCCGATTCAAGAGCCGAATGGCTCAAAGGACTATACCAAATAAATGGAACTATGAACTATATGCTGTGATAAGGGCCATTAGCAGAAACGTCGACTATGAATTACTTCGTTTCTTTGAAGGTATTATTAACGCAAGTGTTAGGTTCACGATGGTAATGCTGCCCCCTATGCTACGGCGTGAGAAACGCAGCGTTACCCTTCGCGATCCGCCACCAACTAGGCCAGCCTCGTGGCGTGAATAAATAAACATGCATCTTCTCTCCAATAACAACTTCCGTATCAAATACATGTAACAGCGGCGACTTTTTTTCATTTACACTTTAAAAGCGCAGCTAATTTCAGAGATTTTTGTAACGATTGCGTAGTTTAAGAGTAAAATATTTTCTGAAGAAAAAATGTGCATTGGCCGGGAATCGAACCCGGGCCTCCCGCGTGGCAGGCGAGAATTCTACCACTGAACCACCAATGCTGACATATTGGGCAATGAAGTAGAGGCTATTATATTCTCACCGTCTTCATCAGTGACAAGATGAGAATATTATTGTGTTATTTTATTTATCAATTTATTATTTTATTCTCATTCTACGTGACTTTACCGAAAGAACCAAAGAAGATGAATCATTGCAGTCACGAAAGCTTTAAATCGAAAAAAGATGGGGCAGATTCACAGGATGCTTGGAATGTCGGGCCAACGTGAGCATGTGGTTGGAACCGTTAGATCAATGTTTCCCCAACATTCCGTGTTAATTGAGTTAGCAGGAAGGCTGTCCGATTTTGCTTTGACCACACGTGGCTGGCAACACTGAATTAACTAAAAAGGGATTAGAGAGACTGAGAAAATATCACTAATTTCTAACAAACATTGTATAGAGTAATATTTTTAACTCGTAAATTTAGTTTTTCGGTTTCCTTTAACCCATTATGTTAATGATGGTGCAGAAAGACAGATTGTTATTATTTATAAATTGAAAAAAAAATGTGCATTGGCCGGGAATCGAACCCGGGCCTCCCGCGTGGCAGGCGAGAATTCTACCACTGAACCACCAATGCTAACATGGAACACCAACCTATATCACCCCCTTTTGTCTCAACCATGTCAGTCTGGTGTGGTGAGGATCCGTCGTGATGAGTCGTGGAGCAGCGGAGTTGTGAATGAGGAGGCGAGTGTGAGTACTGCTGCTGCGTGGGCGGTGTGGAGGCAGCACTCACTGCAGAGGCATATCACGTGTTTACATTACAAAACATAGCACTCGTTATTACATGGCAACAAGACGAACATGTTTTAAAAGTGTTCGAAACACATCTAAACGATTAATCTTTTATAAACACGCTAATCGAGAGGTAACTTCTCTGAGCTGACAATATCGCCCTCTCGTGGTGTCCTTATGTGCTTGCCTGCGGGATCATGTGTTATGCAGAAGGGCCATTGCCTGAAACGTCGCCCATTATACATTGTTGTCCTTGTAAGGGCGCAGTGGTGTTGACGAGTGTGTTGGTGTTTGTGATATTTGTGCATCACTGCCAACGCAGCGGCAGCATCAGCGAATACTGATGTTTAACACGTAGGCTTTCGCGACAAATATAATCAATAATAGAGGTATACAGGTGGACTTCTCCACAAATCTGGCTGTCGCCTGATGAAGCTAGTTGTAATTACTGGCGAAACGTCGTACTCAGTTTGTAAATGTTGTGGATTTGTTCTCCAACACACCGGTTAGTGTTGTACTAGTGACGAATTGGCACGTTCTGTTTACGTGACAACCCTTACTAGTTGGCTGTGTCGGGTGGTGGCGGGTTTAACGACACATTTATATATTTACACGATCTAACCCCCCCCCCCCCTGTATTATGAATACTGATGTGATGACTCATCAGCCGTGGTCACTCCGCACCAAACTCGACGATGTGCATCATCACCATCATCATCACCACCACCATCATAACCATCACCATCATCACCACCACCATCATCACCACAACCATCATCATCACCACCATCATCACCACCACCATCATCACCACCATCATCACCACCACCATCATCACCACCATCACCACCACCATCATCACCACCACCACCATCACCACCATCACCACCATCATCATAACCACCACCATAACCATCACCATCATCACCACCACCATCATCACCACAACCATCATCACCACCATCATCACCACCACCATCATCACCACCATCATCACCACCACCACCATCACCACCATCACCACCATCATCATCACCATCATCATAACCACCACCATCATCATCACCATCATCACCACCACCATCATCACCACAACCATCATCATCACCATCATCATCACCACCACCATCATCATCATCACCACCACCACCACCATCATCACCACCATCACCACCATCATCACCATCACCACCATCATCACCATCACCACCACCATCACCACCACCACCACCATCATCACCACCACCACCATCATCACCACCACCACCATCACCACCACCATCACCACCACCATCATCACCATCACCACCACCAACACCATCACTACCACCACCATCACTACTACCACCATCACCACCACCACCATCATCACCACCACCTCGTGGACGACAATGGCCCTCCCACAGCGCTAGGGAAGCTCCAACAAGCAGCGAGCCGCTCCGCGAGCCGCTTGTTGTGTTCAGCTTGTGTCGTCCTTTCCCCCGACACCTACAATTAGCGCGGTTCGCTGCGTACGGTGCGAAAGAAGTTCGACGCATCTCCCAACGTTCCAACCCGCCACGCACGCCTCTGCCATCGTCGGCCGAGAGCGGCACGCGGGACGGATGGAGGTCGACAGCCAGCGGAGAGATGACGGCCGTGCGGAGCCTCGAGTGGCAGGGATGAGGAGATGGATTGTGACTTCGTAGGGCCGTGGGGGGATGGCGATGACGTGCGGAATCAAGCCTGCATCCAGCAGTGTATAGATCATAGCTGATGATGATGATGATGTAATGCTTGGTGGTAGTCTATGTGAGTAACGTCACGATCTTTAGTGACTCACACTGGCAACGAACCAAATACATAACTAACGCAGAGCCATTTGGCAATCCACTGCTGGATGAAGGCCTCCCCACGGCGTCTTGTGCTGTGGCCGGGAATCGAGATCAGGTGACCGGGTTGGCAGCTAAGCGCAGTGCGCTACCCACCACGCAGTATAACAGCTCCACGACATTGAACGTGATGAGTAAAGTTACGATTATACTCTTTGGTTTTATTCGGTAAAGTCACGTAGGCAAAAACAAATTAAAATAAATTGAAATAAAATTAAGGAAACAATTAAAACACGACGTTTCGGAGGCAAAGCAAGCTTCCGTCTTCAGGTGGGACCAGTCACAGCAAAATCGCTGCACCAAGGGGTGAGGTTCTGGGAACCTCGAGCTTAAATACAGGTTGAGGGGGGGGGGTGTTACGATTCTCACTCCATTCGCTACAGTTGCAGACACGAGGCTCACAACATCTTCCATGAGACGAACCCCTCGGTTGAATGGCACGTGAGAAATGGAAGGGAAATGTGGGTAAGAGACACCAGAAATGATCTCAGACATCACCTTCCAGAGGGTGTATCTCGTAACACGAGTAGTATACAACGATGCATCGATTCACCAATTAATATGGCATGGTTATTAAACTCATGATACATGTGTTTTTGTTTCTCTCTCCAATTCTTATAAAGTATGTTGCCATCTAGAATCGGATCGCTTCAAATTGTTTTCTTACTCACGAGTTGCGGCACGGTGCTCTGG